GGCCTTTTTATAAATCTGTTGATATGGTTGATTCTACAATGAAGGTTGTATTAAGAGTATCTGTAACAGTAAAGTCATAAAATTCTCTCACAAAATATTATGAATCTAATCATATCTTATATATTTACATTTTGTAACTTAATTATATTTTACACAATGAGTACCATTATATGTAGTTTCAATTGGACAACCCCAGTATTAACATGTTCCATCTGAAATTTTGACATATCCTTATGGACATTAAATACATCTATAATACATATCACATTTCAGACATGTATTTGGACAATAACCTGTTGTGATTTAAACCAATCTTACAAACCAACCAGCTCCTTATTAACTAAATTATTTTTGAATATTACGTAAAGTTCCCTTAAATAGAAAAGGTTAACTTTTATTGAATCAAAGTTGTGATCTGGTCCACTGCATTAAGTACAACCAGGATAACAATTTTAAAATGACATATGCACATTTCTAATCATTGCACTAATTAATGGATTATATATTGTAAATTTTGGAAATTAGTAATTATATGAACTATAAGGTAATGTAAAGTTATATGTTCTAAGCTCATACTAAATTGAATTACAAAAGCCATTTGTTTGAGGTAGTGGATTTGTCGTTGAATGTCTAATTTCAAAAATTTAATTATTAAACTCAAAATCTATGACATCATCTACCCATTGACTTGTATAGTATACATCAAACATAATCATTTTATAAGCGTTTGATTACGATGGTGTTAAGGATACAGCATTTTCTATTGAAGTCATTTAATTATTATCTAAAACCAACGCAGTTAGTGGATTTGTTAGACAATTTAAATATAAGGCAGGTCCTGTGCTTGTTTAATTCTTGAATCCATATAAACAACCTAATGAAGTACACGTAATTGTTTTAAATTCATGTATTCCATTATATTATATAATCCAACCTCCAAAGACTGCGTTGATTAAAATACTTCCTTACAAGATTAACACTAAAAATTACATAAACTAAATTAAATATTTATTATAAAGTATAATAATTTCAAGTTCTTCAATAATTAATCTATATTGATTTCTCAACATTCATATAATCTTCATTTTTCTTTTAATTCAAATTTTTACCATAAAATAAATATATTTCTTCACATTTTATTTAAATTTTTTGTTGAAATAATTATCAGAATAAGGAAGATAATAACTTATATTCTTTATCGTTAAATTATAATTTAAAAACAACAACTATTCAACATTTAATTGATTATTTTTATAAATTATTTTATATCATACATGTATTAATATATAAAAATTAATTATCAATTAATTCCAATTTTCATAAATTTTTTCTTATTCTCAATTAATTTTTCATCAACTAGATATTCTTAGAATAAACTTTACATTTGTCAAAATTCATTTGAATGTATAAATTGAAAATTACTCTACAAGATTCGCAAAGAAATTGAGAATAAATTTCTAAATGAGCATTTTGAAATTTCCAAAATATATGCAACTTATTTTTTTCATATTTCAATTTAAACTCCTGAACAAAGTTTATAAAAAAAGATAAACTTTTTTGAATGTCTTTTTGATTGATAAAATTGTAAGATATATAAAAATAAACAATTGATAAAAAGTTATTTGATATAATAACTTTATTCAATTTTATCTTAGAATCAAATTTAAAACCTCATGATTAAGTTCTATTCATCACTTACATTTTTCATTTTTATTAATATGAGTTATTTTTAAATTATTTTATTAAAACACTTCAAAAATCTGAATACATAAATAAAATTATATAAATATTTGTAAATCTTACTTAAATAATTGTAAAATATAATAAACATTTATTTAATTTTATGAGATTATTTAAGATGATTTTACTAAAATAAAATATTCAATGATTCTTAGGATTTAGAATATTTATTTTTAATTATTTAAATGAATAAAAATATATATTCCTTCGATAAAAAAAATAATTTAATATTAGTCTTATCATAAATAGATAAT